TGATTTGTTGTTGTTAGGTGCCATCAAGTCAGTACTGACCCATAGTGACCTTATGCATAGCAGAACGAAAACATAACAGAAACATAACAGAACGCTCTTGGGCCAACCTCACTACTGTTGCCTTGCTTGAGTCCATCGATGCTGCCACTTGGCCAGTCCATCTCGTTGGAGTTCTTCCTTTTTTTCTCTGACCCTCCACCTTACCAAACATGATATCCTTCTCCAGCGACTGGTCCCTCCTGACAATATGTCCAAAGTATGAGAGACGAAGTTTGGCCATCTTGGCCTCTAAGGAGCACTCTGGCTGCACTTCTTTCAGAACAGATCTGTTGGTTCTTTTAGCAGCCCATGGCACTTTGAATATTCTCCTTCAACACCATAACTCAAAAGCATCAATTCTTCTAAAGTCTTATTCACTGTCCAGCTTTCGCATGCCTATGAGGTTATTGAAAACACCCTTGGGTCAGGTGCACCTTAGTCCTCAAGCTGACATCTTGCTCTTCAACACTTTAAAAAGGTCTTGTACAGCAGATTTGTCTAATGCAGTAAGTCATGTGATTTCTTGACTGCTGCTTTCGTGAGTGTTGATAGGTAATCCAAATAGAATGAAGTCCTTGAAAACGTAAGTCATTTCTCCATTGACAAGAATGTTGTTTATTGTTCCAGTGGTGAGGATTTTTTTTTTTCTTTACATTGAGATGTAATCCATACCGAAGGCTGTGCTCTTTGATCTTCATCAGTAAATGTTTTAAGTCCTCTTCACTTTCAGCGAGCAAGGTTATATCATCTGCAAATCACAGGTTATTAATGAGTCTTTCTCCAATCATGAAGCCATGTTTTTCTTCATGTAACCCTACTTCTTAGATTATTTGCTCAGCATACAAGTTGAATAAGTATGATGAAAGAATACAACCTTGTCACGACACCTTTCTTAATTTTAAAATGTTCAATGTTCTCATGTTCTGTACGAACAACTGCCTCTTGGTCCAGGTACAGATTCCTCATGAGCAGAATTAAGTGTTACAGAATACTCATACTTCACAATGTTGTCCATAGCTTCTCATGATCCACACAATCAAAAGCCTTTGCATAGTCAATAAAGCATAGGTAAACATCTTTCTGATATTGTCTGCTTTCAGCCAAGATCCGTCAGACATCAGCAATGATATCCCTCGTTCCACAGCCTCTTCTGAATCTGGCTTAAACCTCTGGAAGTTCTCTGTCAATGTATGATTGTAGCCATTTCTGTATTAATCCTTAGCAAAACTTTACTCGCATGGCATATCAAACAGATTGTCTAATGATTTCCGCATTCCGTTGGGTCACCTCTCTTTGGAATAGGCATAAATATGGATCTCTTCCAATCAGTCGGCCAGAGAGTTGCCTTCCAAATTTCTTGGCAGAATGAGTGCCTCCTGTGCCGCATCACTTTCTTGAAAGATTTCAATTTTTATTCCATCAATTCCTGGTGCCTTGTTCTTTGCTAATTCCTTCAGTGCACCTTGGACTTC